ATTCATAAGAAATGATAAATAATTATTTTCATTCATATGATCAGTCTCTAGAATATCTCATTCTGTTCTGAAATAATTGTTTTTAAAATTTTAATTAATTTAGATAAAATTTAAATTAAATTAAATTTAGATGATTTAAACTTTCAAACTTTGCTGTTAAAACCACAAATTCTCAAAATTGGTTAAACAGTTTTAACAAAACCAGTTTTGGTAAAAATCAGTATTTAAATATCAGATGACAAACTGGTTTCAAAATCAATATGAATTTAGTAGAATTAATGTTTTATTGTTGCATTTTATTAATATTTATATGATAGAGATTTGTGAATATGCCTGTATTATGTATTATTTTCTCCAAAAAGAGATCAGTATTTTTTGATGTAGTAGACACTTTAGTCTAAGTATTTAATAAACAGCATTTGAAAACTTTATTGCTTTAAAATTAATTTTTGCTAGTTCTCACATTAATTTTAAAATTTAAATATGATTAATGCTTGGTGTTCTGTTAAAAAGGTCGAGGGTGGTAAATAAATGCCAAGTACAAATTATAATGTTACACTGAAATATTCTAGTAGTATATCTGTTCAGTTGAGGATGACTTTCAGCTATTCCATGTATCAGTAATCTTCATGTCTTCCAATCTCTCACTGCTTTATTTATTTCAGCAGTATTCAAGTGCTGTTGTTGATGGTGTCAATTCATTAACTTCTTGGTCAACCTCTTTTCCTGTTTCTACTAGTCACTTTGAGCACGATATCCTTCTTAAGTGATTTACTACTTTGGTTGATTTGTCTAAAGTACAAAAGCTTCTGTTTTGTTAGCCCAGCCTCTAGTAAGAAGCTTGGTTTAATCTGTTTCAGACTCACTTCGGTTGTTATTGGAATCAGTTGTGTGGAATTATCTTAAATTCAAACATACTTTACTGCCAATTAAGTCAAAAAGGCAACTAAACACAATGATACAGATTTCATTACCTGTTCAAAACTGGTTTCCAGTTTTTCTGCTAAAATTGCAGTTTATTGAAAATCAGTTAATCAGTTTTATCAAAAACTGGTTTTGTTGCCAGCACTATGTTGAATATTGGAAGCAGACAAAATCTAGCCATTATCCTATTGCAACCTCTAATGGATTAAAATGTTTTAAAACTTTTACACTTTAATTAATTAATTTTTTTTCTACCTTCAGCTATCTTTAAATGTCCATGATCAGGCCTCCTGAAAATTAATTATATAGCTTGCTTAGGATTATGACAATAGCATAATTGAATTTTGCATATTTCTAGAATTGTGGAAACTTGAATACCACCCACATATATTATTTTTTCTGTTCAATGTATAATACTGTTTTAGAGTACTCTCTATCTTTTTAACACATTTTCTTACAGTATTGGAAAGTCATAACATTCCTTAAACATTTCATGAATGTTTGCAAGACTTTCTATAACTTCTGTCTATTCTTCCAGTTTTTACCAGTCTGATTAGACATTTGTGATTCTTATATGTGATCAGCATGCATGCAATGTATATTTAAAAACAGGAATTATTAGACATTAACAAAGAGTTATTATAGGAGCTCTTTCTAATGATCATAATTTCACAGTTATTTGGTTCTTTTAAGTCTAATATAATCTTACAGTTGTATTTTATCATCTTTCTTGAGAGGAAAATCTAATAAATGATATAAAAATATTTTTATAAAACTATTTCTATATTTTTCCCATACAATAAACATATTATTTTATTTTTTTGCTTTTTTTTGCCATAATGTTACCAAAAATAAATTAATCAGAATTTTCTGTTGTTCTCTGTAAAAATCTATCCTTGAACCTGAAATATGATTGATGAACTGTGATATAAACAAGATCTGATAAATCCCAGAAAGATAAGCTTTTTTAACTCTTGTAGATCCAATTCTGAAATAGTTCAAAGAAAATAAATCATGAAATAGGCCACAAATTTAATATATTAAATACTTGAAAGGAAAGATATTTCAGTTATTTTCAAATATGATTATTTTTAATCATATAATTTTTATAACATTATATAACCAAAAAAAATTTTGTAGATCTTAAATTTATTACATTATATAAAAATATATCAAAAACTTTTTTGGTATGTAATAACTTTTAGGAAAATTAAATTTAGAATTCAAAATATGCATATATTAAATTGGTATTGAAAAATCCAAAAGTAAATATCCTGATAATCTTGGTCTAAATTTCAGAAATTAACTAATCAATGCTGATTGGAAAAAATTCAAATTACATGTCAAATTTATGAAACTTGTGAAAATTTCTTAAGAATTAATCCTGTATGATTGTTAAGTGATGTGTAAGCGGAGCTCTTCATAAGTCAGGTATTTTGTCTGTGATCGAAGTGTAAAGCAACTGCGTGACCATTAAACATTTTTTCCAAATATGTACAAATTGGTAATGCTGATGTTTTGACAAAGAAAGATTTTGAAATTTGATCTATGGGCTGAGATATTTGAGTCAAAATTTGCCATATAAAGTCAATGGGCTGACTGCTTGTTATAAGTTTAAAGCAACTGCATAACCACTAAACATGAGTTTTTTGCAAATTCTGTCCATTCCAAAATGATAGTCACTGTGAAATAATGACATTAATAATGGAATAAATAAATAGTATTTCAAAGTTCACACCAAATTAGACATAATACTAGATGTATATACTGTCAGACAGCATTAAAATCTTTTTATACCAAGTACTTTCGACAATACACAATCATTGTCACCAGGCAAATGAATGTCACTATATGTCATAGGCCTGTAACATTCTCAAAATTTAAATATTCTAAACATTTAAACCTAACACAGGATCCGAGGATCACAAGAAAGAACAAAATTTGAAATGTTTCAAACTGTTTTCGACATTATGTTAGAAGCATATCTGAACTTTTATATTTTTGTGTCAAGCCAAAACAGTTAAATCTCTGCCTGAAAATATATGTCAGGAAGAACTGGAGGTTAAAATGGCTTGACAGGTAGTTATTATTTTTGTTCTTTTTCAACATAACATAAGTGATACAAAAGAGCATTGCAGTTATTATTCTAAACAAGAATTAAAATGAAAAGGAATATTAATTCCATGTGCTACATCAATTCTTGTTATGTTGTAGAAAGAGCAGATAATGATTTGTAAGTAGTCTTTGATCAATAAGTTTGAAATGAAGTTACTATAAATTTAGTTTATTGGAAAAATTGTCATTCTGCATGAAGCAAATTCAAAACATCCTTTCAAAGAATATATTTATAAATTATTTTTAGTTGTACTATACTTTAATATCAAAGCACATTAAGATTTGAATTGCTTCCTTCAATTGAAGTGCTGATATTTTTATGTTAACATAGATAAACATCTAAATGTCAGTAACATTGCTAGCAATGAAATTAGCAATATTCTTATAATTAAGATTTAAATTTTTTAATGTTTAACATAAAATATAAAACTATTATTTTATGTAATTATAAAAAATATAAGAAAATTTAATATTACAATAAACAGAAAAAAGTTAAACATATCATATAAAAGTTTTAAATATCAAGTATTTTGACCAACAAATGCTAGTCATTGAGATGGTATTGGATTCAAGAATCTGAAGGAGTTTTTTTTATCTTAAATTAATGAGACATTCATTGAAATATTTATGATGCATTCTTTGGTTGTCATAAGAAGCAAACTTTTTCAATCAGACTACAAATGAAACTTCTTTCCACTTAATTTCAGTATCCTCATCTAAGGATGACTTTAAACCAACATCTACAAATGATGCCAGTTTTTCCAGTTGTTAGCATATTAGGGATGTCTTTCCTATAATTTTTTTTTTATAACTTTCTGCAAGTTATGAAATAAAGTCATATCTATATAACTTTTTCATATAACTTAGATATTAATTTTTGTTTTTTCTGTAATGTGGGTTACATGTTTTAATTCTGGAAAATAAAATAGCCTTTAACTATTGCTATAAATCAGTATTACATGCTATCTATACTGTTTTGAAAAATAAACCACCAATTTTAAACAGTGATAAAATTTCAAAGTCACATGTTTTTGGCCTAATTTATAGACCATCATCAGAAGTTTTTTAATAATAAATTATAGAACATTTGACTATTATTTAAAAATTTGGAATTTTTATCAAATTTTGTTTTAATGTTATTGTATTGTCAGATATTTTGATGCATTTATAAACATCTTGAAGCCTGATATTTTAGTATAGTAATATGTTAAATGATTGCCAGATTAAATCAGGCTACTTTCCACTATTATTTTTAATTAAATTCCTATGCCTACCTCTAGTACCAAATTATTTAGAATTTAATTAAAAATAATAGCAGTGAAATAGCCTGATTTAATGTGGCAATTGTTTGACATATTTTGGTGCATTATTCTTTTGTGTTTATATACCTAGTTGCAATGTTATCATGATACGTAATATTTTAGTTATTGGTCAATGTTCTTATTTTCAAATTTTTAAAAAACAGTCATGTCTTCTATAATTTGTCATTGAAGAACTCTTGATGATGGTCTATAAACTAGGTAAAAACACTTGAGTTGAAATTATATTAAGTTATTTAAATAGAAAATAATTAAATTTATGTAATATTGCTACTAATTATTTGGCCATTTCTTGATAAATTTAATAATTATAATTAAATTAATATTTAATTAATAATTAATTTATAAGATTCTGGAAGAAAAGAATTGGCCTGAGGTGGGACTCTAACCCATAACTCCCACTTGCTAATATGTTGCCAGTTACACTACCCGGACCTCTGTCCGATCTTTGCTTCCAGAACTATTAATTTAGAAATATCCATACTGGTTACTCAGTACCAGTGGGGATGACTCCAACACACACAGCCTGTAACTAGCAATTATTTGGCATTAAACTAAAAATTGGGTTATTGGATATTTACATTTAAATTTATACATATGAAGATTCCTAAAATAGTGAATGAAATATTATTTGATTTTCAGCTGAAGTTTGTAATTTCCTGATAACTAATAAGCATCATGGAGATGTACCATTTGTTGCTGAAATTACAAATAAAGAAGAAGGAGAAGTTGTTCTTGTTGCAAAAAGGGAATTGAATTGTGAAAAAAGGAAAACATATAAATTTGATATTGCTGCTGTTGGATGTGATGGTCAAATATCAGAAAAGTATGTATAAAAATTTATTAAAATTTTTAAAAATATTTAATTATAAGAAACTTTTATTCTTTTAATTATATACAGTTATCATAAAATAGATTTTTTTATTATAAATAGTCAGAAATTAGAAAATGTAAAAATATGTATTTTATATGTAATTTTCTCAGATTTGTTGATGTCTCTCAAAATATGACACACAAAATCCAGACCATGTAGAACTTTGTACTGTACATAAATTTCTGAAATGTTGCACTCATTGAACAATTTGAATCCCATATATTTGAACTTGAAACCTGAATGGAATTCAAGTTCAAATCTATTTTGGGTATATCTTCTGAGTTAATCAGTATTTGATAATATGCCTGGGTCAAACCAGGGTTGAAAAAATATATTTTTTTTTCTTTGAGATTCATTCTATGTGTAACCATGTATGTGTGAGATCAAGTAATGCTCAGAAATTGTAATGACATTTAGATGTCTATAATTGTCACAAGGATGCCAATCCCAATTACTTTTATGGATCATGTGTAGTGAGCTGCTCCACTGGATGTCAAGTTAGCCAACATATATTCAAATTCTAGTCTATATTTTCCTTTTGTCTGGCAGAAGCCTACAAGGTTTTCTGATATTAACAGCCCTCTCATCTATATAAAAGAGAAACATTGCATTTTGCTATTCCTGATCATAGGAATGGAGAAACAAGTTCTGAAACATCAAAAGATGGTGAAAAATCAAATTTGCTCAGACTAGTGCAATCAACACAGTGGAGCACAAGGCAGTTTTTCCACAGATATCATTAGACTAACTATAGTACAGGTATCCAACAATTGCTGGTTTCAGATGTCTGATGATGATTTCCTATAATTTGAGTCCTTAATAGGAGTTGTTTTGATTTAGTAAATTGATATATTAGGTGCTATCTCAGGACACCATATTTGTTCTTTAGTGGTGGTTTCGGAAGGATATTGCTTATTTAGTCTCTATCTTGCCCTCCATTGTGAGTCTGTTGTTGCAAATGTTGCCTTAATTTGGGCAAACCATAATATTGGGTTGGCCTTCCAAAATGGAGATATCCACATAGCTACCTGTGAGATCTCAATGAAAACATTCTCTCTAAGTGTCTGTTGCTAGGTGTGTTGTCTTCAATAGCATTTTGAAATAGTTTCTAACACATATTTTTCAAAAATGATGGATGTTGATAACCTGTGGAAATAAAAATTACCTTATTGCACTGTATTGATGAAGGTGTTCCTTTATTGTGTGATGAATATTCTATTATATCCAAGAGTTAGTTGATGATTTGACTGAGCTTTTAATAACAGTGATGAAAAAAAGACAGTCCATAATTTGACCTATTGTTAACTTTCAAATCACATTCAGTTCACTAATGTTGGTGGTGCTGGTTTCTTCCGTCTGCCAATGTCTTTGATACAGCAAAATAACATTCTAGTGACTCTAAAGAATTGTTTATTGAGAACAGAAACAGACTGTACAACACTACACATATATGACAATATGGGTGAAGAATCCCATGCACAAAACCATAATATATCATTGGAATTTTTTCAGCATCAGAATTTACTTAATAAGAGTAACATTGAATATCTACATATCACATATGGTTACAAATTATTAATTTGTTATTTACTAATATTAAATAAGAGACCATATTTTCCTTACTAATAAATTTTTTGTACAAAAATAAAACACTTAAAGATTCAGTTTAGTCATTAATGTTTTGATTATACAGCAAGTTCTCATTTAACATTGTTTTGTTGTAATGTTGTTGAAGAAAAATCAATCACATTTGTAATCATTTAAAATTATTGCTGTTGAATTTTCTTTATAAACAGTAAAATTGATTCTATAAGGTGGAGATTAAATGCTGAATGTTTGAAAATGAAAACTTCCTTTGAAACAAACTTGATTTCTCTTAAGTCATTTCTCTTAACATCACAATTTCCAAGAACTTATTGATGACATTAAGTAAGTATTTGCTTATATGTTACAAAAATTATTATTATGGAAGTAGAGATTATTCAAAATTTAAAAAATAATGTTATAATGACTACCAATTAGCTGATGTAACTGTATTATGGCAAAGAAATACGTATAATCGAAAATTATTATTTTAAAATAAAATTGTTAAAAAAACATTAATTTAATGGCAGGTTGACCATTACTAATCCAGCATCATTGGGACCTGTAGGGTGATTTTGCTGGATTACTGATGGTTAGGTTAGAATGGGTCAGCAACTTATGGCACACAGGACGATTTTCAGTGGCGCACTGATTGAATAGAAATGTAGTAAAAATTGTATTTTAATTATTAATTACACATTTAAATGGAAGTCATAGTTCAGTGAAAGCTGTGGTACATTAAAAACGAATCTCTTGTTTGTATATTTCTATTACAGTGTATGTGTTTACAGTCCATGTTGCCATCTATGTGCTATGCAAGTGCTTCACATGTAGGAACATAATTCAATTAAAAACTTAACTTCAAAATTATACATTGTTGAAGTCCATTATAACTGGACTAATTTTGATAACATATATAATAAACTTGGTAGAATCATGCTGGCACTCAGAATAACACTATAACTTACATTCAGCATAACACTGTGGAAAGGTTGCTGACCTCTAGGTTAGAATATACTTAACCCAACAGTTAACCATCTCATCCTACCTTTAAAATATTCTGTAAATCAGTACTAGTTGGTTAGAAACATTACATGAAAATTCTTGTCAAATTATTGTACATCTGACAACATTGAACACTCCTAAACAGTAATGGCAGGTTGGTATGCAAGTGGTAACACAGGAAATTTGAAATTATGCTAGTCAAAATTAGTGCCAGATTAGTGATGATATACTTGTATTATTTTTATTAAAAAACAAATCTATTTTTGTAATCAGAATACAATAGAATGTCAATTTCAATTTACTGATTTTCAAATATAAAATATATCTATAATGTTATTGCTTAGGAAATACATAAATTTCAAATTCCTGTATTTCCTAAGCAATATAATAATATATGTATATTATATTTACATCTGAAAATCAGTTTTTTATATAGGAAAAAGTGCATTCGTAGAAATCAATTAGCCTCTATAATTTTAAAATAATTCTGATAATTATATGATGATAATTACTATTAAAAATAAAATAGGTACTGTAAATAAAAGTCTTATGAATACAAAATTTTGAATTATTTTAGATTACAGTCAACCCCCCTATAACACAGTAGATATGTTCCTGTTTTTATGAATCCAGCTTCTAGGAGTCCAGCCAATCACAGTCTGGCATGTGTGCAGTTTACGGACTACGGCTGTTTGAAAGGTTTCTTCCATAAAATTAATCGATTCTAGACCAATTCGACTCAACATTTCCAAAATACGTATAATTTTTTGGGAATAATCCATATAAACTATGCTATAAACAAAAAATTGTAGGATTACTTACCGAGCGTGCACGTTCGACTACGCTGTTGCTTAAGCTTGTTTTCGTTGTGGAGATTGTCATTGAATGGTGCTCACGTGCTTCCTGATAAATTATTTTTTTGCGAAAAATTCGCTAAACTTTGGAGACATCATTAATATAAATATAATTTTTATGGACGTTAAATAATAAATGGTTTTTAGTAGGTCCGCTGCTCGTTTAAACTCAA